CCGCCATGGCCGGCGCCCCCGCCGCCTCGCCGCGGCCCTGGCGCTGCTTTAGGTCCAGGTCTTCGGGGGCATGCTCGGGAGGAGCGGGTGCAGTGGGCGGAAGTTGGCTGCCTCCATCCAGGCCGCTCATTTTAGCAGCAGTCAGACCTGCAGAAGAGGCCCTCGCTCTCCGCAGAAGCCAGCGCAGGCCTGAAACAGCCTCCACCACCACCCCTTCTCCTTTAAGGCGGGTGCTACCACGGCAACCGGTGATGTCAGGGACAGTCTCGCGACAACTCACTGTCCCGCGGATTCGGCTTGCCATTCAAGGGTGTTCCTTTGCGTCCTTATAACTGTTATCGCTTTAATCAATAGGGAAGTTGGTTTTTTTAGCTTAGATAAATGGACGTAGACCAAACTCAAGCATATGAAAGCTGTGTTAATGTGGATTTCTAGGCCTTGCAACTTCTAAGGCACCTAAGCTATTCTCTCCTAAAATATTTACTTGAAAAGAAAGATTTAAAAAAACTACGAAATTTTTAAAAAGGTTACTGTGTTTTCAAGTCAGATCATAGGGCTTCTCATGAATAGAAAAGTGGATTCACCAACTCACAATCCTTCCTTAAGATACAAATTCATGGCTATTACTAAAGAATTGAGATGAACAGAATTTGATTTTTAAAGAGAAGTGTAGATATGCTGTCCTGATTTTTAAAAATAGAAGCAAACTTCTGATCCTAAGATGACATAATAAATATGTATTATTTCAACTTCCCTACAGATTCTGAATTTTTCATGCTTTAGCCAACGTTTGTGAATCAAATGAGCGATATTTCCTCTTCACTTTTTTTTTTTTTTTCTTGTACCGGGAATCGAACTCACGACCTTGTGCTTGCCGGGCAGGCACTGTGCCGCTGAACTAAATCCCCAGCCCCCTTTACTTTTAATATGAGTAACAAATGTTTTTCCTTACTTAGAAATGGCTACACAAAACGCATGCTTAAAACTGCTCTTTAGGCATTACTAGAAGAAATATAATCTCAGAGGATTTAATTTCCAAAGTGATGCCTATTATATGTTGTTTTTCTTCAGGTTGCAATCTTAAAAGTTGTAGTTTCTGCTTCACAATGCCTGTGGCTGTGGAAGCCAGTAATTGCTTGCCCACTTCTGGTCCTACAGAAGGAATTACCACTGTCTCTTTAAAACATTACTTAAAAATTAAGTAAAGTTAGCTGTCTATTCCAGTCAGCTCAGAGAATTCATTTGAACAGATAATCCTACTATTAGTTTGTTGGAAGTATGGGAATACTGGTGTTAATCCTTATGAGAAAGGCAAGAGCAAAGTGAAACTTAAATTTTGCATATTTGCATTTAACATCTTAAATTCTTATTAAAACAAACTAGTTCTCTTTGCAATAGAAGTCCCTCATGAGCACTGCAGAATATGATCTCACTCAAATAAGGCTCAGAAATAGGATTAAAAAAAAAAAAACAGCCTGTATTCTAAGACTTCTAGTGAGGGAAATAGTGTAGACCTGGTTCAAGTAAGAATAAAGATGGCAAATATGGGCAGATAACACAGAGAAACAGCCAGGCACACTTCTTTTTAATGAGGCGGGTGGTTGGTGCTAGTTACCCTACTCAAGGACACAGGGTCCAGACTGATCTCTGTATTGCCTTCCAGCTAATTAGTTATCCTGTGAAAATGAGCCAACAAGAATCACTCAGCAGGTAGCAATTACTGCTCTCTCTCCTTTCCTCTGAGTCCTCTTGTGCCTTATTGGGCTGAAATTATTCTACTGATTTATTTTTGTAAAACAAGTTAATACTGTGCTATAATTGCCTGTGACTGAGTTATTCTTTGATATTACTCTGATTTCTTTCTTTTTCTAAAGAATCTTTGTACTGAAGAACTCTCCTAGATTTAACGTGAGCCAAAATGCAGACAAGCACCAAATACTGAAACAATTTAGTACTCATCCGTCCTCTACTTTTTAACTTTCTTGAAGGTCAGTCTCATCCTATCTAGGCCAGCTACTGCATAGCAGCAGCTTCTTTGGGATCTACTATGAGTATCTCATCAAATGTTTTAAAGAAACCTGATGATTTAGGTAAAAGTTTAAATTTAAATGAAAACATTAAAAGGTTTTACCAAAATAAATGACTTCTGGCATTTGGTTGGTTTTTTGTTGGTTTTTTGTTGGTTTTTGTTTTTTTGGGGGGGGTTTTTTTTTGGTTTTTCTCCGGTACCAGGAATCGATCTCACGACCTTGCTCTTGCCAGGCACGTGCTGTGCCACTGAGCTAAATCCCTAGCCCCGACTGCTGGCATTTGTATTGGTTAGATACAGTCATTATGAATCATATCATACAATTTTGGCACATTAGAATATGGAACACTTTTGTACACAAGAGAGCCAATTCTGCTGGCAATTTGCAATAAAACTCACTTCACAGAAAAAGGTGCATCAGTAACTTATGAAAAAAATCCATATAAAATGCCATGAAAATCTATGAGGTAATTTTTACTTGCCAGGAAATAAGTTTAACACAAGTCCAAACATAAACTCATACGGTGAAATACTAATGACAGTAAATGTTGGAAAATGTATAACATATATAGTTACTCTTTTGAAAATTTATTTTCCACTTTCATTCATATATACTACATTTATTTAGTGCTTTCTGTATACCAGACACTTTTGTACACCTAAATGTATCTTGCCTCTTTTCATTTGCACAAGGACCCTGTGAGGTAACAGTATGCTCTCCACTGTACTTGGCCTCAGAAGGAACTGAAGCAAACAGAAATTAATTCAAGATCACACACAATCCGAACGCCACTAATCAGATTCAGGAGCCTGTATACTCGTTAATTATACTGTTCTGCAAACCTACACAACATATAAATTGAGAAGGTACCTCCTTAAAAATAAGATCAGCCAAGGGTGGTGACACACACACCTGTAACTCCGACACTCTGGCAGCAGCTGAGGTAGGAGGATCAAGTTGAGTTTAAGGCCAGCGAGAGCCTGTCTCAAAAAAAAAAAAAAAAATTGGCCAACCCGGTGTTTGTTCAGCCTGCTCTAGACTGGGGCACTTATAAACAGTAGACATTTATTTCACACAGTTTGGGAAGTCCAAAATGCCAGCAGATTCAGGATCTAGGAAGGGCCTCCTTCCTGACTCGTGAGGAAAGGGTGAGGGATCTCTCTGAAGCTCCAACCTCGTGCAAGCCCTGATCAGCAGCCTGATTTACAAGGTCACTAATTGCCTCTCAGAGGCCCCACCTCCAAGTAGCCACACTGTGGAGACTCAAGTTTCAACACATCGATCTGAGCTGGAAGACACTGTCTGTGGTATTCTCCATTCCCCATGCCCAAAATTAGTCCCAATTGCTGGGGAAGTGTCCCAGTTACTAACAAGAAGAAGAAAATAGTTTATGATCCTCTACTTCAATGCCTAATTAGTTTCCAATGGGACTACAGAGATGTTATTTTAGATAAAATATTGTAGGGGGCAATGAATCTTAGCATATTATTTTAGATAAAATAGTTTTGGTGAAAGCCTACATGGTGCCTTGGGAAGCCTCCCGCGGGACAGTGTAAGAGCTAATTCCCCAGATCAACAGTGCCCAGGAATGTCTCCCCAAGATAAGGGGGCACCTAGGCCTAGGTGACCCTCTGTGACCCTGCCTGGGCAGTTCCGTCTCCTGGGCCTAGGTAAACATTGTAACCATAAAGGAAATGTATGGTTATCTAAAGGGAGACATATAAAACAGAGTACAGAAAGTATGTATCACTGTGGTTGGGCTCATGACCAGAGCCTGACCCGGTTACACGGCACAAGGAAAACAACATGTGCCCAGGGCTACAACGTTCCTTTCTGTTACCATGGAAACCAAAAATGTATATAACCTGGGAACAAAGACAGGTCCACGCCCACTTCCCGGACTTGCAAATCGGGATGAGAGGTCACCGGTCTAAATTAAAACTTTGTCTGTTCTCTTTGGTCTCTTGAGGAATACAGCCCGAATTTTTGCCGTAAGAATATAACTTCCTTTTTCTTGAAATTCTAAATGTATACCATCATATATATTTTTTAAAACTCAATAAAAGTCTCGGTTGTAATTTGTAGGAGAAATAAAGGGGAAGTAATTTTTAAAATATTATCTCCATATGTAAATGTTTTGGCATGTACAGACTTTGTAACCTGATGTAGTTAAATATATATATATATGGAATAACCAGTGTATAAAGTTATTAATGAAACACAATACACGTGTATTATATTAGAGACATAAACAGCAATGGTTTTGGTACTGAAATATTCTGAAATAGCAGTCTTAAGGCAAAGTTTTGGGAGAAAAGTATAAAATTTCAATTCTAGAGGGGCTATCTCCTCAGTCCTAAAACACACTTTTTATTTATATTTCAGCATCTCTGAAGCGACTGTCCCATGATATATTCAATGGCATCTTACAACTGCAGTTAGCAGAAGAGCAGTCATGGTATACTTGTCATTTTCTGAGTCTGTATAACCTTGGTTAGTCTTACTCGCATGATTGAACAGCTGCAATCTCTTGATATTTTAATAACCTGCAAAATCACTAAAAGACATTTGAGGTAGAAAAACTAGCCCTGTTTTCTAAAAACCTTCTGTTGCTATCTTCTGGTAAGATCAAAGCAGCAGAACATTGAAACTTGCAGAATATTAGTGCCTTAGGAAAAATATCTCACACATGCAATTCTTTTGTTTTTTGTTTGGTTTTATTTTCTGGTACTGGTAATTGAATCCAGGGCCTTGACACTGTGCTATATCCCTAGACTTTTTCATCTTTTGAGATAAGGTCTTGCTAAACCACCAAGTTTCCCATGCTAGACTTGAACTTTCAGTCCTCCTGCTTTAGACTCTCAGAGTGCTGTGTTTACAGGTATGTGCACCACTCCCGGATACACATGCATTTTTATAAGTAGCACGTCATTCTATTAAGAAATGTTGTCACCAAAATCATTCAAAATGTAGAGGACAGTAGTGTTTGAGTAAACACGAACACCAAACATTTTTAGTTAAAAAATTAACTTTATTAACTAAATTAACTTTAAATGAGACAACGATTGGATTAATAAAATTTTATTTACTTATCATTTTCTTTTTAGATATACTCATGAGTGATATATAAGATTATTTTTTAAGGTCTAAAAGTCTTTTGAATTGACAATTATTTTCATAATGTTAAGCAATAGTATATTTTATAACAGCTTTAGAGTAGATGAAATAAATTACTTTTAGAATGCAGCATGTATTATAACAGTGTACATTTCTGTTCATATGTAAAATAATACCAGGTTCTAGGCTTAAATAATAATAATTTTTTATCTACATAAATGTTTGGCGTTAGATTCTTTTCTCAGTACCAGTCTTCACTATGCTACATCCCCAGCCCTTTATTTTTTATGCTGAGACAGAGTCTTGCTAAGTTGCCCAGGCTGGACTAGAATTTGTAGTCCTTTATTTTATATGGGGAACTGTTCTGATGTGGAAGCATCCCTAATGCCCCTAGTAAATGTCCCCCCCCAATTCATTATAACAACCAAAAGCACTACAGCAACTAAAAGGTGGTACACATAAAGGATCTGTTTTTTAAACGCTGATAGATATAATATTCCCATTCCTGGTCACTAGAGGAAGGAAGTGATCTATAAAATGATAATTTGGCCAGCTGTGGCAGCATAGGCCTATAATCCCAGTGCTCAGGAGCCCAAGACAGGAGGATCACTGTGAGTTCGAGGCTAGCCTTGGCTGCATGGTAAATTCAAAACCTCTCAACTACATACTAAGACACTGTCTCAAAAAAAAAAATTGATTCTGGTTTGTATGCCTTGATGTTCTAAACAAAATATTTATTGTGATTATATACATTCACTGAAAGAGGTATGGTATGGCTTTTCCACATAAATTTAGTGCTCTATTATTAAATTTAACTCATAATCTACATTCTATTAGTCTATCATTTTCACAAAATTGAAATTTTCTCACAGAAATGTTTATTTCTAATGGGCCCCTATAATAATACTTTACACACACACACACAAAAAAAATCTATGGCACTGATTTCCCCAACTTAAAGGAAACTGGAGACAAGGTCCTTGACCTGAATGACCTCACACCACTGCAGGCTGGTTAAAGAGACACACTTTGGAATTACACACCTTGGGCTTCGAGTGTCAGTTATGCTAACTTACTACATAGTTGATTTAGACAGTACTTTACTTCTCGGTGCCATAATGTCTTTATTATAAAATGAATATAATAAAACTAAATATAAATATATTTAAATAATATATATAAATATATAATATGAATATAAAAACTTATGGGACTTTCATAAAGATGAAGTATCTGTAAAGTACATCACAATGTGATAAAAGTACACTTGTTCAGTTCAACAATTTTTATGTTAAGATTTACCTATGTTAAGTGGGCTATTTTGCAGGGTGTATAAAATCAATGTCAATTTCTATTATGAAACTCTAAGTGTATAGTTCAGAAACAACATACCTGTAAAATAAAGCAATAAGTAAAAATTTTGTGGAAGAAGAGTTGAATTGGTCCAGGCAGAATATGATTTGAATAATCTAAGAAAACTATAAAACATTGGGACATAGTAATAATACTTGTCTGCTATGTTACAGTTATTTCTAAAAGATTCTAGACATAGGAATTTCTGGACAGTGTCGGGGGGCTATTACTGGAACTGAAGTGTTTAACACCTTCTTTAATTTAATATATTAAATACCTTAGAAAATATCGTTAAAAAAACCGGAAGTCACTTTTAATAGCTAATTTTAAGCAGACTTGCTTGCTCCATCACGCTCACAGTGAGGAACAGAGTAAACAGATTTCAAACCAAGTTTGTCTGGCCTCAAAATTTTTGCTTATTATGGAGTAATAAATTCATTTCACCCATATTAGATCAGCACTGGAACATGGCCACTGTCTGAATCACACTCCAACTAAACACCTACTATGTAAAGGAAGGTAACAGAAATGAAAAAAGGAAGCATCTTTTTCTCGTACAGCTTACAATTTAGTAAAGATCCAAATACAAATAACTAGAGAGTTAAAATATTTTCCTGGGAAAACAATTCTGGAAAAAATAAGATAGCAAAATCAAGCTGAGTATGCATTATAGCCACAATAATTCTAGGAGTTATAAGGCCATAAACAACCCTGCTCCCGCCTCACACTTGGCATCTAATCCTCTCCATACAAACACTTTGAACATTTCCCTCACTGCTGACAAAAGTAGAGGATTCACTAAAAGTGGCCTGAGAGTAACTCAGAATTTAGCCATTACATAAAATGATTGCCTACAACAGCACTGAAAATACTATGCACCTGCATCCATGTATGTATTATGTTGTGCTGGGGACTGAACTTAAGGGGACCTTGAGTATGCTACACAAGCACCACAGCATTCAGCTACATCCCCAGCACTTTTTGAGACAGAGTATCATGAAATTGCCTAGCCTGGCCTTAAACTTGCAGTCCTCCAGTTTCAGCCTCCCATGCAGCTTGGATTACAAACACCACGCACCTGAATCATTTTGATTGAAGAAAGGTGAGAATTAAGTACTGAGTGCCATTAAAAGTAACCACTGTACTGACTAAATTAAACTCCAGCAAATGTAGATTTATCTTTTAATTCTTCGTGACATCAGTTCTTTATAGCTGAGTAGCCAAATTGCACAAGAATACTAAAATATTTGAACTAACTTCAGTCTATTCTGTTCTTCTGAGGAAAAGTACAACCAAACAATTTAACTCAGGCAGTAAATATCAAAAATTACACTTTGAACTACTGAAAATGGTTATAATCTGGTAGGGTCTGGAGACCCTGTATTGTCTTTATAAAGATAAACATATCTCTTTTAAAAGCCATTCTTAAATGGATTACAGATCACCTTCAGTAAGGCCAAAGTGTTTATACTTATTTAGGATTTTAGATTTTTAAATGGAAATGTAGTTACAAGCTGTTGCAATGTGGTATAAGTTGTTTTGGTTTGAAGTGAAAAACCCTAATGGAATGCAACCCACATTACTCACATTTTGGGGAATATATTATTTGCTGTGCTTCTCTTTCTTTGCCTATTAAACAGGGATAGTGATACAGAAAGTATGGAATTACAAAATGAGAACATACATACTAAAAAATAACAGGCTGGGGATATAGCTCAGTACAAATGCTCTGGGTTCAATCCCCTGTAGTGCAAAAAAAAAAAAAAATGATTGCCACCATTAAAAGACTTTCAAAAACGAAGTATGAAAGTATATTCCTTTTAATGAATAGCGAGAATTCACTAAACTGACTTGATGTAATGCTAGTAATAGTTAAAATAGAGAGCACTAACTTACATACATAAAGCAGTTTATCCAATGACTGAAAAGATTTTATTTTCTGAGCATCATGTATCTCTGATAAACTAAAAAGCAGAGCCATTTTAGGAAAATATTAATATAAATGTCTTAGAAATTTAATATAACCATCACAGTCACTCGAGAACTCAAAGCTACTCTACCTGTATCTAGAAACATAGTGTGTTGCACAGTACACTTTGGAACCCACTTAGTGTATCTTAGATATAGACACTTTACCCACATTTTACACATTGGCTTTTTTTTTTGTTTTTTTTTTTTGTCTTTTTGAGACAAGGTCTCACTATGCAATTCAGGCTGGCCTTGAGCTCACTTTGTAGTCTAGACTAGTCTCAAACCCACAACCATCCTCCTGCCTCAGCCTCCTGAGTGCTGGGATTATAGGTGTGCGCCACCATGCCCAACTATTACCCATTGGCTTTTATCTATACTTCACCCATCTTGAATTTTAGCCAAATAACCCTTAAGAGTCACACACACACACACACACGCACACGCACACAGATACACACACAAATCACAAAGAGAAAGTAGTAACATGTAGGGAGACGCTGACCAAAGGAGTAATTGAATCTGGGTGTGATAAGGGACTTTCATGCTCCTGGGACACATGGTTAATTTAGAGCTGGAACGCATGGTTAATTTAGAGCAGAATCTGCACAACAAATAAGAAGAATTAAGAGCAAGTTACTGTCAAAGATGTTTGCTATGGCCATCTTTTTTTCTTTTTTAGATAGGGTCTCGCTGTGTAGTTCAGGCTGGCCTTGAACTTGTGGCAATCCTCTTTCCTCAGCCTCCCAAGTGCTGGGATTATAGGCATGGACCACCACACCTGGCTGCTATGGACATCTTGTTCTCTCTGCCCTGGTAGGGCTGCCTAAAGTAGGTCATGTTTCACTAACAAACCTCCCATTCTATCTGTCCCGACAAAAGCTCCAGTGTGTTGCAAAATGCTTTTTCCTACAATTTTCTTCTCCTGTTACTGTCACAAAAAAATAACCACAGAGGTCTTAGCGCAAGCCTGTCCCCCTAAGGTTGTCTTATGCCCAAGAGGCAGCCCCTCTGAGTTTTGGGTGCTTGAACAAAATCTTGTCTCAAGTAATCTTTCTCTACACAGCCATGGTCCCACACTGTGACTGTAACACATTTAATGTTTGGGTACTTCATATGCTTTGAGACAGTCACCAAGCATAGAGCCATGCTGTCCTGTGTAATTAATAATAGCCACATTAAACAATGGAAAGCTAATTTTATTGGCATTATTTAATCCCATGTCAAAAGTATTTCAATATGCAATCTACATAAAAAATTGAGATATTTCATTCTTTTCCCATGGTCTTCAAAATCCAGTGTTTTACATTTATAGCCTTATTTTAGTCCAGTCACATTTCAAGTGGTCTCAATAGCCACTGGCAGCTAAAGGCTACTACTGTATTGGACAACATATGTCTACCTTCTCTTATCACCAATGTAATAGCACCAAAAAAATTACATAAAAGGTGATCCAAAATAATGTTAAACGGCAGGTGATTAAAATGTCTGAACTTTTTCTAATTAGTAAAACAGGAAATTTAATTATTTACATGTGGCTTTGCAATTCTTTTTGACACCATTTTTACAAAGCAGTAGTATTTTTACCAAGTATTTCTGGACACTAGGTTATTCTTCTTCCCCATCTGAGTTAATTCTGTCACTGATTATCTGTTAACAACTCTGTGCAAAACATTATGCTAGATGCAATGAGAGATGCAGAAGTGTCTCTACATCCACAAAATTTCCAAACTAGTAAGACAAGAGTAAAAATGTAGAAAATTGATACCTCTATTTTACTATGTCACTCTGTATCAGCTATTTGTTTGCCCATCAGTTCCCCTCCAGTTCAATGAATGAAATGAATTTACGGTTTTTTCTCTCCCAGGGCCTTCGGAATTCCGTAACAAATTATGGAATTTTCAGTAATAAATAATTGGATTACTTTCTAGAAAAGAAGCATATACAAAGTCCACTAACTACATTTTAAAAACAGTATCATCTCCCAACGAGAACAGAAAAACTGCAAAGCAGTTACTAGGACAGGTATTCAAGGATATGACCGAGGATAGTACTGAGGAAGTTCAACGAATGAATAAAGCAGAAGTGTGGTTTTCCAGTTCCGAATCAAAAAGTGACAATCCAATGTGTGCTTCCTGCCTTCTCAACTGCAACCATCAAGCTTCAAGCAGGAGAAACTATTCTGCTCATTTGTTCCTTTAACACTTACTAATCTATGAATACTCTATAAAGCAGTACGGGAATAGTATATTACATCGGGTTGGTATTGTCTGGAATGCAGAAGTGAATAAAAGAACAGCCTGAATGACCTACGGCTATCACTTATCTAAGAAGGATGATGGTGCTACAAGCTTTATGGGGGGGGGGGGACACCTGGTATCTTGAGTAAGCAGTTGCATGTTAAAATTTTAAAGCAAAATGGAAGATACAGTACTGTGCTCCATTCTTACTTTTGGGACAATGGCTACTGTGCCCATTTAAGAAATTTAACCACTAGCAGGTTACCATGAGCTTCACTCAAACAGCGTGTGTTTATGTACTGACTATCCCTGGAATCACTGGGACAGGTGTCATTTCAACCAGTTAACTCTTGTACTGAATTTGATAAAAC